CCACACCAAGCGGTATCGCAATAGTCGAATATAGGGAGAATATAGCACTGATAAAATAATAGTTTACACTGGATGGGCAAATGAGTGCAATGTGGTTGTAGTACCCCTAAGGCTGAACTGGTTCGCTTGCATACACAGTTGACATGTGCAGCCCAAGAGAGTTTGCAGTCAAACATCACACCTAGATGTTTCTGCTGAGTAACAACACGGATAGGCATAGTCGAGTCAGGGAAGAATAATGGTTGATCAGGATGGGATGAAGAAATATACATGGCTTCTGTCTTGTCTAAATTGGGCTGGAGTTTCCACGTTTGCATCCACATGACAGTGCTGTTGATGCGATGCTGCATGGTAAGGAGTAATTGTGCAGGGGAGGAATCAGAACAGATAAGGCCAGTGTCATCCGCATACAAACTAACATCGGGGACAACTGAAGGTAGGTCATTAACGTAAAGCAAGAATAACAAAGGACCCAGAATGGAACCTTGGGGCACTCCAGACGTTACAGGGAGGGGATCAGACAAGAAATAGAACAAGCGAACAGCCTGAGAACGAGCAGACAGATACGAGGATATCCAACGCAAGGCAGCATCCTCCACCCGGAAGGTGACCTTCAACTTGGCAAGTAAGCCACGATGCCAAACGGTGTCGAATGCCTTAGCCAAGTCGAAAAACACCATTCCCACGTGCTCCCCACAGTTCCTCTTTGTCGCTATGTCTTGGACAAGTCGAGTCACCTGGTATTGAGTTGAGTCACCACGGCAGAATCCCGACTGAGCTGGTGAGAGAGCCGGAGCGATGTGCAGGTAGAGGGAATCGAATACAATACGCTCACAAAGTTTGGAAACTGTGCGCAGCAGAGAGATGGGGCGGTAGTTTGCCGGGCAAGCACGGGAGCCTTTATTCTTGTAAAGCGGTGTCACGATGGCGGATTTCCAATCCTGTGGGAATGTACCAGTTCGAAATGACATATTAAAAATATAATGGCGAGAGGATAGGCTATTGATGATGCAAGAGACTGCAGCACTTCATTCGGGATCCCATCTGAGCCGGGAGACTTTCCACATTTCAGGCGCTTCAGATATTTCCGAACTTGAAACGTAGTGACAGTGATTGTACGGAACGGAACAGATATGAAAGGCGACTGGGACAAAGGTGGAATGCGCCACGAAGGATCATCAGGTAGCCCAAATGAGGTGAACTGAGTGTTCAGAACATCAGCTATGCTCTTGGGGGACGTGGCGACCGTACCGTCGGATGCTATCATCGTTTGGGGCATGACACGGCCGGAAGTGTGCCGCTGTGCTCGCTCAAACTGAAAGAGTGTAGGTCGATTCGGTGACGTTAGTGATGCTTGGATGGAGCGTATATATTGACGATGTGCTTGCCGAGACAGGTGCTTTACAGCATTCCTTTGTCGGTTATAAGCTGCATGATTTACTGCTGTCGGATATTTTTTGTACACACTATATAGATCACGCTTGCGTTTTACAGCAGACCTGAGCTCAGCAGTAACCCATGGTGGAGATTGCATGCGGGGTCGTGGAGATGTCACAGTGTGGGTGGCTCCGAATGAAGTGAGGTGCCGACGGAAGGCGGACTGGAGCTCACAATCAAAGTGATGAAGTGCGTCATTAACATCAGTGTACGAGTTCAGAGAGGAAGAGAGGACCAGTTGTAGCCAGCTAAATCAGCGTTGATTAATTGCCAAAGGTGCGAAGGTACTTGTTTGAAGCGATACAGTGAAGAGGGAGGACCAGTGGCAGAGTTGGGGAAGTAGTTCGAAATAGGGGCGTAACATAAAGTGCAAACAATCTGTATATGGTCAGACATACCCAAGGGAGGTGCTTGATCAATTGAGCGCACGAGGCGTGGTCGGTTGGTGATCACCAAGTCCAGACACGAAACAGAGCCATTAGGCGAGGAATGAGTGGGGAAGTCAACCATCTGGTGGAGCCCAAGAGCAGCAAATACTGTGCTAAGGAGATCACCAGCCTTCGAGGTAGAATCGGTGGGACACCAGCTTGAGTTGTGGGCGTTGAAATCGCCAGTCACTAGCAGATCATAAGAATCTAAACAGACTGACTGTAATGCCTCAACAAACATGTCACAAAAGTACGACAATTGCATTGTGCTCTGTGAGGGTGGTCGATACATGCAGCATAGTAAGATGGGATTCTGAGATTGAGTAGAGGGGGAGCCAAGTTCAAGCCACACAGACTCGCAGCCAGGGCGTTGAAGGTCGGCACGAGGGGAGACGTACGGAAAGGAGTCCGAACGGACAAGTACGGCAACACCGTGCTTGACCGATTGTCTTCCGGAGGTCGATCTCTGCGGATGCACATATAGCCTGACAGTTGAGAGCGGGTTCGAGGGACAGAAGCCAAGTCTCTGTTAGGCAGATTATGTCCTCTCTCTCTCTTCTCTCTCTCTCTCTCTCTCTCTCTCTCTCTCTCTCTCTCTCTCTCTTTCTCTCTCTCTCTCTCTCTCTCTCTCTCTCTCTCTCTCTCTCTCTCTCTCTCTCTCTCTCTCTCTCTCTCTCTCTCTCTCTCTCTCTCTCTCTCTCTCTCTCTCTCTCTCTCTCTCTCTCTCTCTCTCTCTCTCTCTCTCTCTCTCTCTCTCTCTCTCTCTCTCTCTCTCTCTCTCTCTCTCTCTCTCTCTCTCTCTCTCTCTCTCTCTCTCTCTCTCTCTCTCTCTCTCTCTCTCTCTCTCTCTCTCTCTCTCTCTCTCTCTCTCTCTCTCTCTCTCTCTCTCTCTCTCTCTCTCTCTCTCTCTCTCTCTCTCTCTCTCTCTCTCTCTCTCTCTCTCTCTCTCTCTCTCTCTCTCTCTCTCTCTCTCTCTCTCTCTCTCTCTCTGTGTTTTTGGTGGACAAAAATATCTCTGGCGTTTGTTCTCGTACTCCCCTTTATGTAAAAGTGTTGTGCAGACCCTCTCTTAATATAGTCTGTCTCATTTTGTCCTGAGATGTTTTGATGCATAGTGATTATGACGCTCATCATTCGCTCCCTTGTCACTGGACAGTTCTGTCCGTTTGGTTTTAGCGAATTCAAATAAAGAAAACAACACATGTCAGGCTTAGCACATTCGGAAATAACGCAGAGCTCAGACAACTTGTTGACAACAGAGCGACAATTCAGAGATACTAGGGTTAAATCACGCTGGGATTTAGGGAAAAAAAGGGAACGCTGATGGATTTAGCGCTGGACATGCAATGTGTGCGGGTCGGCCAGAGGAGGGCTGAGCGGGGTAGAGCGGGCGGGCTAGTTTCGATCGTGGGGTGAATACAGGGGCGTTGGGATTTAGTCGTTGTTGCTGCATCGTTGTGTATGTTGGTTTGTTAGCATGACAGTTCAGGATTGATCATCACTGCCTCGCCGCGAAGTAGAAGACGACTTGTTACCTTGGGCATCAGCAAAGCGCCACTTTCGCACTGTGTGCTGGATGGTGGCCGGCCAGAATTTGGAGTCGAGAACTTTGTCCTCGTCCGATGCTGCCACGGTTACGCGAGCATGGCAAGTACCCAGGTACGTGTTTTCAGAAATCGAACAGTTCAGTACGTCAACTTGGCGGGCCTTGCACCACGCTGTTATTGACTCTGCCCTGCAACCCGGACTGACATTTCCAACGTACAGAACAAGCTTCTTTGTACGTTCAGGCCCTGTTAGCACACGCGGGTCGGCTGCCCTGGGCTGTGGTTTCACGTAGCGTGACGTAACCCTACGGCGTGTGACTTCCGACCACTCTGCACCTGCATCACTCGACCCTGGGTTGGATTGCTCAGGTGGGTGTGGTCTGGTGCCATGCATTGACAAAACAGGCTGCGACAAATGGCTGGAGGTGGTGTGAGCGGGGGTCATATGGTGAGTACTAGAACCCGTACTACCCTGTGTGTACTGCATAGGACCAGAGGAAATATGGGTGCGTGCACGTGGGGGATTCAAGTCTCCTACGGCGGTGCTGTACAACTTCCCGCCGGACATTGCCAAATTTTGCTGTGCTTCCTGTACGAGAGGGTGTACACAGATTTCCGGTTGTTGGAGCCCCTGAACTTCCCGCCTGAGTTGTTGCACTTCTAATTCCAGACTCAGGATTTTGTCGGCTCTATCCTGTCTCTTGAAGGAGACAATTTCCTGTGACATGCAGCTAATTGAGTCAGTAAGGCTTACAATTGCAAGTTGGAGCTCCGATGTGGGTAGCGAACTCTGCGCCAACACGCCCACTCCACGCTTCCTCAGCTCGCTCACCAGATCCGGCCGGGAGAGGCTCGAGGCTTTATCCACAGACATTTGCTCACCGATCTTGATGAGCTCCTCATAGCCAGCCAAAGCCAGGTCCATGCCTTCGTTTGTCGCCATTGGTACTGTTGGTCTCTTCTATTAGTTCTAAGCAATAATGGGGAGGGGTAGTTCTGTAGAGAGACGCACCTCGAGGCTAATCCTCGGAGCACAAAATGTCAAACCGCACCCTACTTTCACTTCGCGAAATACCAAATTAAAGCTGTGTGGACCCGGGCTAGCGCCGGACGTTACTGAAGTAACGTCTTCTGCATAGCTCCGGGAATAAAACTATAATACTGGTCTTGGATATGGAAATGTATGCAGGTGTCAAATGACACCAGTTGGCCGTTCTAGGAGTTCTGAAAATGATGGCCGTCCTATAGGAAACTCTGCTGCCAGCTACAGAGGACTATTGCACTGGCTGTCCCGTGCGCTCCTACACGTGCTGCTGCGTTTCCCGCTGACAGGAAGGCTGCAGGTAGAACGAACATCTTGCTAAGTGAAGGAATTGAATGTGCCGTGTTTGGAGTGTGCTGCAGGGCCGATTCGTGAGACAGCTCATCTACAAGTAAAATTTGTGATATTGTGCTAGTTACACGTGTACAACGTTCTGTAATAGTATATCAAATTATTTGTAGCCTGTCAGATAAGTAGCGGGGGCAGCAATGGTGAGAGGAGGAAGGAAATACATTCACCGTATACCATGTTAGATAACAACTTCACATGCTTATTCTTACTCCGATACCTGTAAATCTTCAAGCTCATGAAATATCTGCTGGAACGAGGGCCGAGTACGTGGTTCGTCGCTCATGCATTTCTCAGCCAGGTGACGGTACGGGTAGGGAGTGGTGGGAGGAAAGACTGGCGTGTTTCCATCCAGGATCTCTTGATGGATGTCCTCCGGGAACTTCAAATGTGCGTAGGGAAGTTGACGAGTAGATATCTCCCACAGAACTACGCCATAACTACAGGAGAAAGAGAACATACGAAAACCAAGCACGCGAATATACGCGAACACACACACATAGAAGAACATAATATTGCTCAACGACACCTTTGGCCGAGTCTCACGCGCACCGTGAAATGTTTTATTTTTTAATATATTTTTCCAAATAACCTTCTTGAAGACGCAAAACGTATCACGGAAATGAAAACCACAAACATCGAGCTCTTCACCACAGATCATCACCAATTGGGACTCAGAAATCCAGGAACAAACGCCGCATCCTCTTTAGCTCACATACAAGCAACCAGAACCAGTTTCATTGTATCTTCTAGAAACTATTCTAGCACCTTTTAATATTCCCTGCTTCGAGGGAAAGACACAAACGGGAATACGAACGGGAAAAGTCTGGAAAAAAATGGAGTGTCACCACCATGCCCGGAACCAGGGACCCTCGCTTGTAGCCAGCGATGCTCTAACCACTGAGCTATGGTGCCCTTTTAAAGGGGAAGTATACCCTAAAATCTAATTTTCACCAGTTGTAGTCTTCTGGGTGCTGAGTCGAATGGTCTTGGTCCGAGGAAGCTGCGACGCTCCCTTCCTTCTTTTTTCCCAATCGAACCCGCGCACTTCCACCGAAACTGGGTGACTGCGCCCTACTAGATGGGGATTTGTATGCAAAATCTCACTAAAAGTGCTATGTCGTTCTTATAAAAGCACGGATGACCGCGATTGGCCCATATGTTGTAGTCTTTAGGACGCTGAGTAGACTGGTTTTGGTCCGAAAAGGCTGCGATGCAGCGTTCCTCCTTTATTCCCAATCGAACATGCTTGAACAAGCGGTCACGTGCTCCTGGGTGCCCAAATCACCTGGTCACCGCGCCAGCAGGCGACAACTTTCACACCAAGGTTCAACTCGAGTGACAGGACTGCACCCAAAAAAGGTCAAACAGGCTAGTAAGTTGTACCCTGCAGGCACGGTGACCAGGTGACTGGTGTACGCAGGAGCACGTGACCGCTTGTTCAACCATGTTCGATTGGGAATAAATGAGGAACGCTGCATCGCAGCCTTTTCGGACCAAAACCAGTCGACTCATCGTCCAAAAGACTACAACATATGGGCCAATGGCGGTCATCTGTGCTTTTATAAGAACGAAGTGGCGCTTTTAGTGACATTTTGCATACAAATCCCCATCTAGTAGGGCGCAGTCACCCAGTTTCGGTGGAAGTGCGCGAGTTCGATTGGGAATAAAGGAGGAAGGGAGCGTCTCAGCTTCCTCGGACCAAGACCATTCGACTCAGCACCCCGAAGACTACAACTGGTGAAAATTTGATTTTAGGGTATACTTCCCCTTTAAAGGGGAACTCCACGAGAAAATGAAACTTTGATAGCCTGTAGAGTTTCGGCCGCTGAGTCGAATGATCTTGGTCCGAAGCCTCTACGACGAAGCGTTCTTGAGATATTTCACTTTGAAATTGCAAAACGGGGGCCGCGCCCTGACGTCATGCGGCCATTTGGCTACGTCATCACGGGCTGCCTACGCCATTGTGGCATAGTCGTTTCTCTTCGCCAATCTACAAGCACTAATTTTAGTTGGTATTTCAAGGGAAGATGGGCGATTCCGAACAATCCTCTGTCCCCAGCAATGAAGGCAGCGATGCTGAGGCCAATGAAGACGACCAACAGCCCACCGCCGCGTATGGTTGGGGCAGGGAGCTCAGATACTCTGCTGAGGCGCTGCCATCGCGTGTAACAAATGTTGAGGAAGAAGATACTTCAGCAGCTGCGTCCGACAGAAGACGAGTAGCTTGGCCACCAGAATCTCGATTCGTTTGGGACTCGGACTGGTGCGAGCGTGGACAAAGTGTATAGCCATGCCCAGCCCGCGGGAATGATTTTGCTGGTAGGATGCTGCCGTCGCTGTCGACAAGACGGCCAAAGGTTTCTTGCGTAGCGGACCTCGCAGATTACGAGATCGTATCCTTGCATTAGGCTGTGCCCACCACTGCTCTTCGAGGTTATCTCGACATGCAGAAGCCGCCAATGCCAGTGATAGAAGAGTTTGACATTAGGTAAGCCTCAATTAGTTTGCCTCGACTTGTCTTGTGAGGATCGCGTATCAGCACGATACACTTATTGTTTGGGGGAAATTTATTGTTGTGTCGCACAAGAAAGACATTGTACTGGTAGTTATCACAAGTTTCATGCATGACACAAACAAATTTCCCTTTGCTCCGAGTATGTCTTGACTTATCTTGTGAGGATCGATGCGCGTAATGTTTTGTGTAACTTATTGTTGTCAGGCATAGCACGAACAACGTTGTACTATAGTGCTAGTAGTTATCACAAGTTTTCATGCATGACTCAAACACATTATTTTGTCTTTGTCATTTTCCCTTGGATTGGTACAAGATCTGCAAAGTATGGTAGTGTTCTGTTGGTGAAGAGAGCACTGCACACAGTTTATGAGCACCATGGGTGCATTTGATCACACCCGAACCCATTCTTTATCGTTTCAAGCGATAGACTTTGTCAATGAACTCGTTCCATGGCATGCAACGTACAAGCGTGGGGTCAAGAAAGCGTACACCAAAATAATGCACAAGTTCTGGCAGGAGAGTAAGAAATCTGTACTTTTTGACCAAGACATCTCTGTACTAGTAGGTAATCGAACGCGTCCTAATCCGTATTCATCCCCCAGATCATTGGAATTCAATTTGAAATCAGCAATTATGGGAAATTCTACAAGACCCTCCATCTTTGTACCAGTGGACACTAAATTAGTATGGCGCGCGCACTGAAAGTGCAGGTAGGTACCGGTAGGTGAATACAGCGCATATGTAGAGTAAATGAGTATTTGACTATAATAATTATTACGGTACAGCAATGTGGTATGTGTACAAGCACTCATCATACACATTCCATATGACATTCTGTGCTTGTGTAGATCTCTACGCTATGTGGCACACAGGCAATACACACTATGTACACGGCAAATTGGGCAAGCACGTTCGTTGTCGTCTTCCAGCCTGCGTTGTGAATACCATCAGGCAAAGATATCCAAGTCCTGCACCACCTCAGCCTTCTAGGAGGCTTCCACCTGGAATTTGGCAGGGAAACACGCTTTTCCAAGGCAGGAACATCGAGGTTGCCATTTGCAACCGCTACCACTTCACACATGAGCTTGTCAACATACTCATAGCTCTTTCTGTCGTATAATTTTCTATTTGGCCACAGTCTTCTTTATGCTTTGAGAACTGGACTTTATGCCTTCCTATCGCGGTCTTTTTTGGTTGTGCTGTGACGACGGTTGACATTGACGTCGTCAAGAGCTGCGAGATGTGCGTGTCCAATCATCCCCAGAATTGAGAAACGAATGCGTTTGAGAATGTAGTTTGGCATGACACTGTGATATACCTGTATAGCAAAAAGAATGTGGAGAAAATACACTTGCTAAGACAATATAATGCTGTATGGGAAAATGGAAACTTCACCGTACAGGACGACTCTTGTTCTCAATTGCATTGTTCGTTTCATTCCCTGTGTTGCCCATAAGAGACGGGAGCAAAAATGTTCTGCAGATGTTTGTTGTCTTCTGGCGTGGAGTGGCGGCGTCATTAGATGTACACATAGTCATTTCACTAAGTACACCACTACTACAGCATAATATGTACTATCCTTAGGCTAGCGTGCGTGCGATGGAGTTTGAGTATGTGGGTGCGTGTGTGCGTGTTGTTGTGTTTGTGTGTGTGCACGCACACGCACGCGCATGTGGGTGAAGGTGTGAGTGCATGTGTATAAGATGTGTAGTTCCCACTGTATTCCTTGCACAATAGGTCTTCACTTACTTTTCTTTCGCATACAACCAGAACCCATTCCTTGCTCGAAATTAGATTTTTTTGACCTGGTGATCCCGCAAGCGTGGAACTCGGAGTGTAATAAATTTTTGTTTCACCTTACCTGCACTATTCCTAGGCTGTCCAGACTTCTAACAAGTGCTCTGAGTGATATGATATTCATGCAACCATGCCGAGAAGTAGGGTAGCTGTTATAAATAGAGACATATTCACGCAATCAACTTACACTGGTTCAGTTTGGCAGGATTGGTGAGACAGTTCGTCGTGCATGCTGCCTGCACATCGCAAGCAAACAATTCTGTAACCTTCGTACTTGCTGGGGGTCTTTCTGTTTGCGTCCCAGTTGATGACAGATGTGCACAGTTTGAGTACTGGTATGCGCAAAGTTACTGGGGTAATATCGTTCATCAGCTAGCTGCAGTCGGAGTTGATGGGGTGATGTACTCTTCTGATCCTGATGGAACGTATCTCGCCCTGCTTTCTCAGTTGCAGCTTGTTAAGTTCGCTTTGCTGGAGGCTCACGGTTCGGAGGGCACTGGTACACTGATGAGGGCTTTCCTGGACGGCGTACTCGTCAAAACTCAGCTCTCAAGTCCCTCTGGATCATAAATGCAGCGAGCAAACATAGCTCGTGCTGTGAAAATAGGCTTGAAAATTTCACGACGCATTGCAACATCTCGGCGCTTTGCCCGGTCTCCATCCTTTGGGAATCTGAGAAAACTAACCCCAGGAGGATTATATGATACTGGCACAACCAACAACACAACAATTTGGCATTGCAGCGGCTCAGGCGACTTGGCAAACTACTTTCTGAAGTGACTTTCGTCTTGAAGAAAGTGAGATTCAAAATCCAAGTATTTTCGCACCATGCCACAATGACGTCACACATGCATTGGTATGGGGCGTGGCTAGAATTGAAATATCTCAAGAACGCTTTCTCGTAGAGACTTCGGACCAAGACCATTCGACTCAGCGCCCGAAACTCTACAGGCTATCAAAGTTTCATTTTTTCGTGGAGTTCCCCTTTAATACATTTATAAAGAAACACGTGTAACAATAAATTTCTTATTGCTGTTTGCGCTGGACACGAACTACAGATAACATGTAACATTGTGATTATTTCTTTTTAAATTTAATCATTGGATATCCATCCGAGTGCTACCTTTGAATACATTATTCTATATAACACAGTTAGGTAAACGCAGAATCAGTTTGGACGTGTTCGTTTGGTTCAAGCACCATTTTGATTAATTAATTCGACAAAATATTACAGGGTGCGGCAGAGCTCTCGGCCATTCAAGAAAATGTTGAGTCACCTCGACCATTACACTGCGCTCTTTAGCCGACTAGACCCTCCTGCACACAACCATCACCATTGCGAGGACACTTCCTAGACGTTGCTCCGCAACAATTCTCAACAATTCGACTAACATAATCTAAGACCACATCAACTTACCTATACACATCTGATTTTTCCGTGTAACTGTTCTCAGACAGTGTCTCCGGAGCTCTCCATCTGTCAGTTCCAACACCACACGTCATTCCAACTCGTGATGGCAGCTGTGAGGCCGTGAAACAGTGATGTGGAGTACTGTCAGCGTCGTCAGCTACCATGGTATCCTGACCATGATTATCATTTCCAGATGGTGATTGTCTCTCATCGCACAGAAGTGGACTGGCCGTATCACTACCGCTGTGGTGTATTGGTAGATGTGAAAGATTCTGGCATTCAGAGACCGTACGTTGAACCAGGTTTTCGTTTTCGCTGCTGTCTGCTATTGAATGATCGTGGAGAACGCTTGCTGCCTGAGCGTTGGGTCGGGCATCGCTAGTGGATTGCTGCCCTAACTGCGAACGATCTTCGCTCTCCATAAGGGTAAGGTATCTGGTGAATTCCAAGTCTCCGATTTTCACCACCCACTTGTCACTGACCAAGAGGTTTGGACTCTTTAGATCACGGTGAATCTGTGGAGGATTGGAGCTATGCAGATATCGCATACCACGAGCGATGTCCAGAGCAAACCGGAGCATATCCTCTTGTTCCAGTTGGACACGTGCATTATGCAGATTGTCGTAGAGGGAACCTCGTCGTAAGTACTCCATAACCAAGAATGGGCACTTGTCCGCTGTGTCCTGGCCTGCTCCAAGAAAGAGGACAATATTTGGGTGGCACACGGATCGCAGTGTCTCAGCCTCCTCTAAGAAGGTGTCAAAAGGCGATGTACGCCATCGCGTTCGATTGAAGCGCTTGGGAAGTTTCTTGACTACAACATCCATGTCACTGAGCTTTGCAATATACACCTTGCTGTAGGTCCCCGATGCCAGTCGTTTCTTGATTGTTAAGTCTTTCCATTGAATTCGCGCTCCCCGGTTCAGTTCTCCAAGTTTCCTCAGGGACCTTTGGAGACGAAAATGCTGGATTTGCAACTCTTTCTCCGTATTCCTCAAGTCGCGACGCTTTTGAATGAACTTCACTAGGAACGCAATGCTCAAAGAAAGCACGAAGGAAAATATAACGGCTGCCATCTGAGAAAGGTAGACTACGGGTGTGCGGCAGTTGTCGGAAGGCAGGTATCCAAACTTGCAGTCGCAATACTTCTTGTCATCTCTATCCAGCTTGCATGTACCGTGGCCATGGCAGTAGCTGTCCATACATATGGTATCGCATTTCCAGGCCCCAATACCTTGTGTCGTCAAATCACCAGGACATCTCGTACAGTTCACAACAATAGCTGACGAGTAGTACCCTATAGGACAGGGCTCACAGGAACGGTGTTCCGAGTATCCATAGCCCAATGGACAATGGTCCAAACTGTTCAATGTCAGAAAGGTTAAGCTTTGTCTTGGTAGATTTTGATCATAGAGATCGTAATCAAGGCCACCTGAGAAGACCAAGTCATCGATCACATGTTGACCATAGATGGTGACGTTGAAAAAGTGTATAACCTTAACTGTGATTTTAGTTCCATGGCCCCACAATTGAAAAAGAAATGCAGCACTCGTGGGTCGGCGACGCAATGAAAATCCGCCTAGTAGTAAAAATGAATTGTTCAAGTAAGGAGACAAAGAATGGAAGACGCGCAATTGAACTTGTTGTGACAAAGGAATCTTGCGGAGATGAATGAAAGAAAGGCTCTTGATCGACATCACCAACAAGTAACCAGTCATTGCTAACCCATCTCCATTGTCACGTGTGTTATCGACGCTTTTTTGACTTTCTTCATTGAATGCGTTGTAACCACCAAACAGAATGATGTCATCACCATACTTAGTGGCTGAATGACCATATCGACGAGGCAGTTTCTCACCGAAAACATTATCAGTCAGTTGGGTCCACGTACCGGAGCACGACTGTTCATCTGTCATCTTCAGTAGCCATAAGTCGTTGTATATCTGTGTCTGGTCACTCCCACCGTGTATCACCAAGTGTGCCCTCTTGTGCCTGAATGCCACATGGTCTTCTCGAGGCATTGGTGTGGGCTTGGATTGACATGCAGTAAGGCGTCGCCAGTAGACTGTGGAATCTCGAGCTTGGCTATCAACCTGGATATACAAACACCAAGTAGAACTAGGGTAATCGTAGCTTTTGTTTATTGACCGTGAACCTCCAAAGAGAATTCCCATGAATGGCTGGACGGATGTGAATGTGAAGTCCCCTCGATTATAAAGCAGAGGCGATGATGAAGGATACTTGGCGACTATTGTTGAAGTTCCAAATCGATCGTATAAAAGTTGCCAAACAACAATAGGGGTTGGTCTCTGCGAACGAGTAAAGCGAATATCATAACGAGCTGTTATTCTTTCTGGACAGTTCGAACCAATAAAAATGTATATTGAAATGCTGTGAGAAAGGGGTATAGACAAAGGACGTGCTGTCTTGCAACCCTGGAAGCCTGAAAAATGACTTCGAACATCAATATGTGGCTTATGCGTAATCGATAGCTGGGACGTGTTGGATTGACATTGGACGCACTGATGCAAGGTGAAACTTTTTGTGCTTCTTATTCTTTGAAAGACGATATGGAATTCGTCGGTTGGGCTAGACAACAATGAAAACCAAGGGATGTCGTGCGGATAGTTCTGTATATATAGGTCTGTAAGTTTCCCTTTAGCTTCGCAGTGAACTGGGTCCTTGTCTTGGGTTGGCAGAGCGCATATGTACAGGATAAACGGACCATGTGGAAAAGAGTATGCCACAATCAGTGATCGAAAAGCGCTGAAATAAGCAACTTGCAAGTTATTCAAAAACTCCCTCATCATACTCATATCGCCCGCAGGAGAGTAGATAGATGGAAAATTGGATTTGAGTTCCAGCCATGTACCTTGTTCAATATTGAAAATCCAGAAATCGTTTAACATTCGTACCTGGATGGGTTGAGAATATCCATGTGCTTCCACTCCACCGAACAGCAATAACTGGGAATCACTTATAGATATTAGAGTGGGGTTTGCTCGGGGGCTTGGAGAGCTAGTGCCGGTATTTGCTAACTGATGCTCCGATTTTATCCACTTTACTGGTACCGATGGGTCTGATATGTCGATTGTGACCTGGAAGATATCCGTGGAGAAGCGGACACATTCCGCGTCGCTGAAGTTATTACAATGTGATCCTCCGTATGATATGAGTGTGAACATGGACGAAGATGTATTGGTCGGTATGGTAACAAGACCAGGTGAAAATGCCCATGGAATATTCTCACCAATTGCGGATAGTACCCTGGTGATGGTTGTAATACCATTGTAAAGAACGATGAACTTGGAGCATTGACCCGCCCCAAAACCAAAGAAGACTAAGATGCGCCGATCTGGTGATGTCGTTAGTAGTAAGTGCGGGGCGGGTTCTGGCCCACTTTTTGACCTTTGACCTTTGGGCCAAATAAGGCACACTGTGTCGGTCGTGCTTGGTCTGGCCCCGGGACCCCCCAGAGTTTGACCTTTGACCCCTGGCATGCCATAAATGTGCCATAAAGGTTCTTTTCCGTGGCGAACGTGCACGTTCGGTGCATTCGCACCGGGGAGTAGTAAAATACGTACTATTCCCTGATTTGCACATCGTAGATGTGCATTGCATGCAGTGACATATTGCGCATGCGTGCATACGCACGCGGAGCTTGTGACCTTCAGTGGTCCTATGCGTGTGGAAAAGACGCAGTGCAACACAAGGTGTACTAGTACACGTGTCATTATACTACTCCCTGATTCGCACTTCGTAGATGTGCAGCAAACAAGTTAGTTCACGTGCCATGCACTCGTTTTATTCACACATCGTAGATGTGCACTGACAAGTTGCCCATACAGAGCATGCCCTTAAGAGAATGTTCAAATTCGGCCATATTATGAGCTCCAAGATCAGAATTCGGCTCAACATAGTACTTGAAGTCACCGTTCCCATTACGTCATGTACATTTTTTACATACACCCTGTTGAAGCACTGAAGCATCGGTTTTCGGCGAATTCAACATGCGAATTTTTGAAAATTCGGCGAAAAGATGGGTAATTTCTTCAAAACCACTGTTTTCGGCGAATTTTTCGCCCGGCCGATTAGGGAAATGCCTACTGTCCATGCAGGTCCATTAGATGCAAATTTCTATTTTGATCAGGATACAGTTAGAATCAACCGGCTCCGCCCGCGGTATCATGCATCAAAACAATTATTGAAGGGTGTCACAGTGAAGCAGTGTTGCTACGCACCGCAAATCCCCTCTGCACTGCACCGAATCTTTACTGGAGAATCCAGAGTGACCAGCAAAGAGTCACAACCCGCAGGTATCCAGTCACACTAAGGCATATCCACCATTCCCCACATATTCACTGTAACAAAACACAATACTGTTTACTATAATGCACTTTTATTTAAATGGACTTGGATGAGTCTGTAGAAGAGAACACAATGCACGCACACGCACGCATGCGCGGGCACACACACACACACACACATCTAGGTTATAGTGCTATACACATATCTAGGGTTTAGGAAGCACGAGAATGTGTCGAAGCACCCACACATACCCCTTCATGCAGTGTACTGCAGTAGCCCAACACATTACGACTGCACAGGACCATCACAAAACACATTACGACTGCTATAGCACAGGACCATCACAAAACACTACACACTGTTACTACACTACACACACAGTTACTACACTACGCCTGTTACAAGTACTTACAAATAATTTTGCAACAAATGGCACATCCCGAAGACGGCAGCTCCAGACCTTCATACATCATCATCTGTAAAACCAAACATGAGCGCACACAAACACTATTAGTGTCACGAATACGAAAGCAGGGTAAGACAAGAGGATACGAAACAAGTAAGTATCGCTATAACGAGGGGGGGGGGTAAATATACATGTAGACAGAGCAGTGCTTACTTACAGGGTCCTAATACGCTCCAAGGCGTCCCGGTAGTCGGACTGCAACAGCAGCCCGACCTGGCGACCCTCCCAGTAACGGGTTAGATGGGCCGCACCCGCCAGGTGGGCGACCACGGCTGGGCCTCCCACCAGCCTTTCTCCACTGTAAAAAAACGAAAGAAACCACAGAAAGCACAGTGTCATAGAGCTCTTTTGTTGGGGGAGAGAGCTAGGAGCACTGCACACTTACCATTTGTCACAATATATGATGAGAAAGAGGCGGCGCTTGACGCACCGCCTCAGGTGCTGAAACAGGGGTATTACCCCTGACATTCGAACGCTACAGTGACAAGTGAAAGCCATTTGGACTGTAATGATACTGAAGTGAAGGTGTGAACCGCAAAGCAAGACCTTTTACCTTCTTCCTGTCGAATTCGCTCCCCAGCTGCATACCGACATCATCCGCTAAAACCCAATCATACCAAGTAACGCAAAGGTCATCAGTTGACCTTTTGGACTTTTCAACTCTTATCCAAAACCACCAAGAGGAAAAAACCAGGATAAAGAAGACGTCAGTTGTAGAAGCGTTTGTGGAGGAGTTGTTACATTATTCTCAGTAAATAGATATGGCTGATACATTCGGTGTAGACTTGGACGACCGGTCGTGGTCTCTCACCACGGGTCCTTTACTAATAGAAAGGCGGACGCCAATAAGAACTGTTGTGGAGGTGGCAGATCAAAACGCGCAGCAAGAAATTTAGCACGTCGATGGTAGACTCCATCGGGAGGACGGACCAGCTCTTGTTGATAGTAGGGGAGTGTCCGCCTGGTGCTATGAAGGTCGCCTTCATCGCGTTAATGAACGGGCTTGGATAGGACGGGGTAGCATCGAGTACTACCTCAACGGTGCCCGTCATAGAGCCGGCGGTCCTGCAGTCAGTTATTGTGACGCCACATGCTGTATTCTACGGTGGTATCACCAAGGAAGGCTCCACAGGGAGAATGCGCCAGCGGTTATACACAGGGAAGGTAACAATCGTGTACGGGAGTGGTACCGATACAACCTTTGGCATAGGGAAGATGGACCTGCTTTCATCTCTCAGGAGGAGGAGGGTGTCTATCAGTGGTACCTCAACGGGGTGTATTACGGTGACCACCATCAAGACCAGGCAATACACCCCATGGAGCTGCAGTATATTAATGTAGTGCCTACTAAGGCAGACTCGTCAGCAATAAGTCATGAGTCCAGTTGTGTGATTTGTCAGGATGCCCTGGATCGTCCTCTATCCAAATTGAAGTGTGGTCATGAATTTCACTTCCACTGTATCAAGGAGTGGATCAGTTCTGCCCCCAGCCCAACTTGCCCAACCTGCCGCTACTCCATGACTGCTGAGGACTTGGTTGAGTTCTTGTAGTAATACATGACACAGCTGCATGTAGGCGACTAAGAATGACCAGTCATGTGCTACAGACGGATACGGACACGCCACCCTAAGTAGCCATGAGCGGCTCTTTGGACAAGGGCAACAAAGCACCCCGTGGGCGGCCAAGGTTGTCACTAGCCACAAGTCTGCTCGCTCAGTTGAATAAGCTGGGTGTGCCCATGAAGACCATGGAAGACCTTTCCAGGTGCCGGCAACAAGCAGAGGACAAGACAGACTGGAAGAAACTGTGCAGCTCGACACTCGAGGACAAATCAGTATCAGCAGCTACTACACCTTGCTGATGATGCTCACAAGACAGAAGTGGGAAAAACACTGAATTTCTTTATTTAGTGCTCAACTACGCGAAATGTGTTATTATTATTACACATGTTCAACTGTACTCAGTCTGGCTGACTGCCATTCTCTACCACACATTACCGGACACTGTTGTGGTTGTCGTCGTTATCGTCGTCGTCATTGTCGATGTTGTTGTCGGTTGTTGTCGTCGTTATTGTCGTCGTTGTTGATTTTGTTGGTGGCTGTTGCTGTCGGTTGTTGTCGGTTGTTGTCGTTTGCTGTTGGTTGTTTTTGGTTGTTGTTGATGTTGTTGTCGGTTGTTGTCGTCGTTATCGTCGTCGTTGTTGATGTTGTTGTCGGTTGTTGTCGTCGTTATCGTCGTCGTTGTTGATGTTGTTAATAGTTGTTGCTGTCGGTTGTTGGTTGTTATTGTTGATTGTTGTCGGTTGTTGTTGGCTGTTGGATGTTGTTGTCGGTTGTTGTCGGTTGTTGTTGGTTATTGTTGGTTGTTGTTGGTTGTTGTTGGTTGTTGTTGGGCGTTGTTGGTTGTTGTCGGTTGTTGTCAGGTGTTGTTGGTTGTTGTAGGTTGTTGTTGTCGGTTGTTGTCGGTTGTTGGGTGTTGTTGTCGGTTGTTGGGTGTTGTTGTCGGTTGTTGGGTGTTGTTGTCGGTTGTTGGGTGTTGTTGTCGGTTGTTGGGTGTTGTTGTTGGTTGGTGTTGGTTGGTGTTGGTTGTTGTTGGTTGTTGTCGGTTGTTGTCCGTTGTTGTTGGTTGTTGTTGGCTGTTGTTGTTGGTTGTTGTTTGTTGTTGTCGGTTGTTGGTTGTTGTTGTGTGTTGTTGTTGGTTGTAGTTGGTTGTTGTCAGTTGTTGTTGGTTGTTGGATGTTGTTGTCGGTTGTTGTCGGTTGTTGTCGGTTGTTGTTGGTTGTTGGTTGTTGTTGGCTGTTGTTGGTTGTTGTTGGTTGTTGTTGGTTGTTGTTGTTTGTTGTTATCGGTTGTTGGTTGTTGTTTTTTGTTGTTGTTGTTGGTTGTAGTTGGTTGTTGTCAGTTGTTGTTGGTTGTTGGATGTTGTTGTCGGTTGTTGTCGGTTGTTGTCAGTTGTTGTCGGTTGTTGTCGGTTGTTGTTGGTTGTTGTTGGCTGTTTTAGGTTGTTGTTGGTTGTTGTCGGTTGTTGTCGGTTGTTGTGTTTTAATCGTTATTTTGTTCATTATCCAGGAGGATGTTGCTATGATCCAGTACCATTTTTTCACATAATATATGAGACAAGTTTGTGTAACGTTAGTGTGACGTGGGGTATGCTGATTGGATGTGAGGTGGTGAGAGTATGCTGATTGGCCGATGACAATTAGTGGAAGGGATAACGTAATGCGCTGCTTGTGCAGCGTAACCAAACACATGGTCTGTGGGAAACACCCTAGTAAAATAAATAAAATAATAAGAACATGAATTGCCACCGGCACTTGAGAGACTCGAGCCCCGCCACCTTGTTCAAATCGGACTTGGTAGCTTCATACTGGAACTTAATCTTCTTCTTTTTGAGGTATGACCGTACAAAACGCGCTTGGATTTTTTCATTTTATTTTATTTTTTTATTTTTTTCATTGCAACTTTTTTAGCAGATAGCAACTTTTTTAGCAGACTCGTGAAACAACGGTGAATCTGGAACGAATAAATGGTCCATGTCAA